CTATACCATAGTCTCTCAGCTTAACCAGCAATCATCAGCATCTGGAGCAACTCAGAAACATAGCTAACTTTAATGAACTCCAAGCAGCAGAGTTTGGTGGCTAAGCTGAACTTTAAAATAAGACTTGACAAAATTCATTTGCCTTCAGTGTGGTAGGGAAGAATAGGTACAAGGAAAAAGAAAATGCATATAAGAAAAAAGAAAATCTAGAAACTACATTTTCAAAAGATTCAGATGTTCACGTTCAAAAGAGACAATGAAGTTCAGAGTCTTCCAAGCAAGTCACAGGTGACTTATTAATACAAAATAGTTCATATTAAGAAGTACCAGCTGAAGCACAGCCCATCAGAAGCCATATGAAGCAATCTTACAAAGGTGATTCTGTTTGGGGTACACAGAAGTAGTACCAACAAGGATTAAAGGTACCTACCTGCTGAAGTTTCTGCTACTGCAGGCATCCCTGTCAAGTACACTGACAACTAATCCCGAAACCCAAAAACTGAGCTCAAATACAAATTCCAAGCAGAGTAAGAAACCGGGAATGGTACAGCAATAGCAGCCAGCGCTTTCATCACGACTTTCACACAAGCAGAGAAGTTGGAGAATGAAGACCTATACCCTTCATTTGAATCTGTTTTACTGTGGGACTAAATTATAATTGCCCATCACAGTACATGATTTCTCCTATTTCTTCTCTTCACATCTTGCTAGCTGCTATTTTGAACACTTCTTCAGACTAGAGATCCTTGTTTAAATTATACATTTAATTTGGACTTGAATATACTTTTTCTAGTTAAGTTTTCAGATGCAAAACCTATGCACATAGAAGGAATAAATGGTTGTCAATTCTTTGACACCATAACTTAAATCTAAACACCAGCCTTTAAAATCTTTGACTAGCCAATTTTTTGACTCAGCCTTAAGACATTTACAATTTATTCAGGGAAGAGAAGCAAGGCTAGAGTATGATTAACACCATTAATAAAAAGACAAACCTGCCAAACTAAGGAAGATCGGTAGAGGGTTCAGTGAGGAAGACCAAAGTAAGTTAAGACACCTTAGCTCTTCATGACCTTTTAAAGAGACCATTAAAAGATTTAACTAAATTTGGTGTTTGTTTGTTAAGTTCATAAGGTAAAAGAGAACAGCGAGCAAGTTTCACTGTCTTCAGAATTTCAGACTTCTTCAGGCTCATTAAAAACTACTTCCTGATTTTGAGATTTTTTTTTTTTTTTAATGAGAGAGATTCTACAACGCTTTAAAGGATCTATCTTGTTCCTTTACCTTTTCAGATTGTTTTCTGGATCAGGGCAGGGTTTTTTTCTAGTTTGGTTTTGTTGGGGTTTTTTTTTTTACTCAATTGTTTTATAGACAGACCTGGGATTTCTCTAGTTCAAAGTTAATTATTCACAATTTACATTTCAGTATGCAGAGAAACAGCAGCAGAGCACAAGACCTCTCTGTTCAAAGGGATATTAAGAGCAGCTGTCATTCCAGGTTGAATTAACAGGCGAGCTGCTTCAGCATCTGAGCTGTGTCATACATTCAGTTCCTAAACTTTGCCAAGTCTCTCCAAGAGTAACTCCCTTACAGACCTTCCTTACTACTACGCTGAATGCTACAATAGTCTTCACAAGTTATTTTTCTGGCTTATAAGTATTTAAATAACGCCTTGAACCTACAGAAAAGGAAATGCAGGATTTTTCCAAATCCAGGCTAGTCAAGAACAGAAAGAAGTGGCTTAAAGTAAGAGTTTAAAAGCCTCAACCAAAAAAGTTAAATAGGCTAGTAACAGTAGAAGTCCTCCCTTGCAAGACACAGAACTGTATCAGGAAGCTACTTCACTGTTGTGCTAACCAATGTAAAAGCTGAACTTCCAGGTCTATAGAAGACTGACCACAAAACAGTACTGGAAAGCAGAACAAAGTTATCAGTTTCTGCCTCTACAATAATTGCTCATGAGAATGTTAGACAACTTTAATGTTATTGGCTTTGACTATCAAGCAATTCCACAAATGAGAGCAGGGAATTTATCTGTGGGGTTAAAGTTTACCATCTACTCTTTTCACCCCAAGCTTGCCCCACCTCCACAAATACGCATCATAATCTGGCTTGTAATAGTCTCCCCAAGCAGAACAGCAATTCATGCTGTCTCCTCCTTCCTCCCCAAAAGTCTACCTCAAGAGTTACTACACCTCACCCTGACCCCAGCAAGCCTACCCTTTATCAAAGTCCAGCATCTTCCAGATATTGCCTATGCCCTTTTATGCCTATGCCAAC